GATCCAGTTACATTGAACATCATAAAAGAGAAAGTAGGAAGTAATCTTGAATGAATTGGCACAAAAGACCACTTCCTAAAAATAACACCAGTAGCACTGACACTGAGAGCAAGAATTAATAAGTGGGACTTCTTGAAACTGAGAAGTTTTGGTAGGGCAAAGGACACACAGTCAAAAAGACAAAAACAACAGCCTACAGAATGTCAGACTATTATTAGACATGAGGGGTCATGTTGCAGAAGCACGGAAGGAAGCATGTTGTACATTGTGTTTTTTAGATTACCACGCAACCCCACCCCACCATATAGCCACTTATTGTTTTTACATTTCTATTTCTATAAGGTGATTGTTCAACATGTAGAAACCCCTGAGCTAAGCATGGAGTTCCCAGGCCTTCAACCTTAGTAAACTGCAGTTTACAGGCCCCTCCCTTCCCCCTCCATATTCCATTACCTCCATTGAAATCTGGGCCTGTCCCTGTAGGGAGTTCATCATCAAGGCAACATTTGATGGCTAAGAAGTGAGAGAGTCCTCAGCCCGCAGGGAATGAGGAAAAGTGAACCCTGATATCTAGGTCCTAGACTCCCATAGGAGGTGGACTCAGACTTTGGCCACAAGTTCCAGACTGACAGGTCTTGTCAGCTTGAGATGCATTCAGCACTAGGCTCCTTATATACCTGCACTGAATCCAGGAAAAATGGTGGTATACAGCTGGGGCGGGTCAATGCCCGTGGAGTACTGCTAGGTACCCCTGCCTCAGATTCTGTCCTGCTATATGTTGGAAAGATGGTTGGGACATTTGCTTGCTTTCAATAGATGGGTCCCTTTTCTCTCTCACTTCACATCCTTCAGGGAATGGTATCTCGGTGTTCATTGGGGAAGGGGGTTCTTTGAGAGCCCCACCAGGCTGCACATCTCTGCTGACCTCACAGCCACCTGTCAAGAGTTTCCTTAGGATCTTTAAGACACAAGTAAGTGTCCTACTGAATGTTCAACTTTCCCTCTTCGTGCAGGCTGCTGGCTGTGTTTTCGGGCTCAGAGGATTCTCAATGATTACCAGGTGCCCCAACCCAATGTAGGCCTCCTCTTCTCCTTCTGCATCTACACACTAAGGAAACTCATCTATTGATCTGGATCATCAACTCTCCTCTCCAGCTGTTCCATAAAATTCCCTCAATAACAACCTGACCTCTGAATAACTCAGTTCTCTGCATTCTAACCACATAAATAAGTTGCCTAAGACAGCAAACACCAATTAACCACTTCTATGCTTACTGTGGCTCTGAGGAATTTCAGTATCTTCCCAGAGCAAGGCTCTTTGCCATCTAGTGTCTGTAATTACTTCTTCCTCTCCACCATCCTTCTTTTGTGTTGTCCGAAATACTCACTTCCTCTCAGATTCTTAGAAATGCCTCCATTACTGGGAACCCTGCCCAAGACATTCTTTCTGGTCATGAGATGACCTTCTCATCCTCCTCCGACCTCAACACAGAGGTCACATGATCCATACGTGCTTTTGGGAGCTCTCTGTAAAGTATCTAGAGCCTTGTTTTATGATCCACCTGCACACCACCATGGTGATGCCTGTGCACAGATCCCCATTTGGTGAAAAATGTTCCTCTGTCATAGGGACACTTGAAGAACATCCAGCCAGTTATAATGTCTAGCTGTGAGTTAATGGGAAATGACTAAGATTCTCTGTGCCTCAGTTTCCTGATCCATAAAAAGGATTGATAATAACATGTAGGTCAGAGGTCCATCACAGGAGTCACATAGCATGAGTGACAATTTCTACTACCCTGTGGTCACTAGAGGGCACACCCCTGCCAATAGGAGCTGAGTGAATTATACATTTATTGATCCTTTGCTCCAAACCATGCTTTTGTGTGATGAAGTTGGAGGTGTCTATCAATCATTTCAGATTCGTCATTTGCCAACCTAGGAAATGGGTACTGTGCCCTAAGTAGGAGTGCTGGGGGAAAGGAGCTGGTCTGATCATTTGGCCCCTCAACATGAGTGAAGGCTCCAACAGTGGGCCATGTATGTGCATGGCCAGCATCTGCTGCAAAGGGCGGTGGGTGGCAGAGCCTAGGGACTGGAGAGGGAAAGTACAAGGCAAGAACTTGTCACCAGGAGTTACCAGATGCAGGAGTGAGATTCAGTTCAACAATCTCCCTTCTCAGTCCTGGTCCTGGTCTACATGGATTGACCTATAAGCTTGCATGATCCCATCAAGGCCAAGGAAGCTGAAGGCCAATATGCCTAGAGACAATACTGGGACTGAGCCTACCTCATAGTGCCCACAATGGGGGTACAGGGAAATACATGTGAGTGAGAACGGAGAGGGCATAAAGATAGATTCCAGGGTCAGAAACATGAGCAAGTGCTCCCAAGAGGCCTGAGAGCCTGTCGGTCACAGTCCAAGGCTCCTGTGTATGTAGGAGTCATGGAGTTAGACAAGGTCACTGTTCAAGCCAGGTATACAAAGCCAATCAGAACATGGAGTGCAGAATGTACACACCCACATGCAGGCTCCCTCCTGGACAGAAGCCTCTCCACTTGGGAAGCTCTAGCTTCATTTAGGGTTGGATATTTTGGCCAGAAAGAGGGTCATCTGAGTATCTGTTTCAGAGATAAACATCAGGAATGGCCTGTTGAAACAGACTGTCATTGATATAAATTTTGCACAAGAAGGGATCATTTTGAATCCTGTGGCAGCAGCTGCTTCTGTGCCTGTCTCAGCCACATCCAGCACAGCCTTGTGGACCACCTGTAAGAGAAAGACATCACTCACTGGAGATCAGGGAGGGCAGGAGAGGAGATTGCTGGAGCAAGCATCCACTGTTGGCCTCAACTGCTGGTGAAGTTGTTTGTTCATATAGTGAACTCTACCCATGGTGTTTCCAAGTCTCTGCTCAGGGTATGAGATGAGACATGTCCTGGGTCTGCCCAGTCTCTGAGAATCTGTGTTGCTCTCAAACCAATTACAAACAGAAGGATGGGTGTAGGCAATGCTTGTCCTTCCTCCACAGGCAGCTTCTAAGGAGACCCACAGTGAACAGCCAATGTGCTGGTAGCCTTTACAGGAGCTGGCATCCCTCCTGCTCCAGCCTCCTTGGAATATACAACCTCAATGCACAGAGTGTGGTTTCTCTTTACCAAACTGCCATGTCCTATTTGTAGAGACTTGCACCAGGGGTCAGAGTGGGCACTGATGGACAAAAAAGTCTTTGCCAATCTGTGCATCTGGGACTGTAGTGTGGGGTCCTAAGGCATCTTCTCCCCTACTCTTAGCTTTTCATCACAACTGCCATTCATCCCTTGTTATTTTATTACTGCTACTGTCTGTGTGCTCCTCAGGAAGTACTGGGTCAGTTCTGCAGTGAAGAAGCTGAGGCTGGAATGCTTTGCCCTGCAGTGGATTGTGGGTGGTATCTGCACTGCAGCACAGGTCAGTGACTATGGTGGTCTAAGACCAAGCACAGGCTTTTCCACTCTGGGCTTCTGGAGTAGAGGAGGGATTGGTGGCATGGTCTCCAGCAGGGGTGTCTCGGCTGTAATCCAGCCCTTCCAGGATGAGGGAATCTCAGAAATGAGGGCTTTCTCACACATTTACCACCCCCCCTTGCCACCTGGCTTTCAGCATACATATTCTAGCACCCAGTGAGAACCACCCAGTGTTTCTTGACCTACCTGAGAGACTCTTAGGTCCTTGGCTCCTGTGATCCTAGACAGGTCAGCCTGTTTGGAGAAGACTTTCCTGATGCCTAGTGATGGAAGGATGTTCTCCAGGCTGTAGTCAGTGGAGATGGAGAACTTGGGCATGTAGAGCTCATCGATCTTCCTGAGAATGTAAAGAGAAATGTCAGAGTCCCTGGACTCCATTGCCACATCAACCTACCTTTTTGCTAGGGCACCTCTCCAAAGACAGCCCTAACACAAGAGTGCAGCCCTCTTTCCGTCCATCCCACACCACTTGATTTTGCTTTTCCTAATGCATCAACTAACCTCAATGCCTGAGAGTTTATTCAGGGGCAGGAGATGAGGCTTGGAACTAGCTGTTGTTTCCCTTACCAAGAATGCTTTTCTCCCACTCAATACATTTCTTCCCCTGACATGTAAACCCTCAGACTTCATCTAATGACCATTCTATTTGGAACTGCACACTTCTTCCAACTCCAGCTTTCCTTCCCCGCGGACATTCCCCCTTTTAACATCTACTTGTTATTTTTTAACTCTTCAAATAATGGTTAATTGTATTTTCAATCACCTACTCTCTCCTCTTCAATTTCAAGGTGAGCCTGTGATTATAAGAAATTATATGCTTGAGATTCTGATACCCTCTCAGGGTCTAAATTTGAGCACAGTTATTATTCCATGAATGATAAGTGAATGAGTGATGAGGGCATGAGATGGCTACACAGGGCAGAGCTGATTCTCAGAGCTGGTCTCATCTCAGCCTCCCTTCCAAAACCCATTCAAGATTCCCTGTAATTACAGCCTGTTAGACACAGAGGAATCCTCAACTCCTGCTCTAGCTGCTGTCATCTTGTGAACAACAAAATGACAATAAAATCTGTCTAAAAACTACCGAGTCAAGAGAGGGAAACTCACCTCGAATCCACCTGTCCCTGCTGACTCTCCAACCGTTACACTGGGTGATCCTGACACTCTGAGGGACAGGGACACTGGGCTAACAGCAGGATGGAGAGACAGACAAGCTCTGGGTACTGTGGACACCCACCTGGGCCTCAGAGAGTCCTTCCATTTCTTCAGGGTCTCTGGTTGCAAGCTGGCTTCCAACTGCTGCATTTTGCCCATGTCAGGGAGGATGAACAGGGCACTGGCATTGCCCGTGTACTTCAGCTCCACTACAGAGCAGTTCAGATCCTCATCCCGGAAGTAGGGTGTGGTGAGATCCTCAATTTTCATCATGGGCACCCTCACAGATCTCTTCTTGTCCAAATGGAACTCAGACTCGAATGTGTCACGAGGATCAAATGGTCTGTTCCATTTCCCTAAGTGTGGAGCAGGCCATCAGGATCTAACAGCACAGGAGAGACACCACCTCCTCCTCATTTCTGCATAGTTTCTGAGTCAAAAGTGCAATCAATCCATTTTCAACAACACAGAGTGTAGTATCCCTTGGTGGCTGCATAGTCTGGATTGGAAAAACCTTGATATATGCAGAACTATGAATGAGAAGTGATCCACAGGCTTGGTTTAGAAAGAGGAACTCAAATCCAAAGCTTAGCTACTTAAGGTACTTGAAAAACAATGTAGAATCTGAGGTGGGGTATATTACAGAGAAATGTGAGTGAAAGTGGAGAGAATGGAGCCTGAGGATATTTGGGATTCCCTTCTTCCTCAGGAGGAACCCTGTCTAGAAGGCAGTTGCTTGGGAGACAGATTTCACGGGAACACGAGAGACTGAACCTCCAGGTAGTGATCTGTTGATAGTGCTCCTCAGTGTGAACCAACTAATGGAAGGTTGAGCCCAGAGCCAAGTGTGGGCTTATACTCAAGTTTGGGGGACTTGTAACTTCTAGATTTGGATTACCAGGATCCCATAGTTGGTTGACTAAGACGAGTAATGAGTCCTCTTCTCCCACATTGGCCATGTTCCCCTCCATGAATCACAGACATCCTGGCCAGCCTTTGTGCACATCCCAAGTGCATGTGACCATCTACAATACACCCTGGGGGACTTGGTACTTTGACAATTTCTTGGGCTCAGGATGCAGCTGCATAAACATACAACTCATCCTCACAGCCAAGCAGCCCTGGAGCTTGGGGTCTGGGTCCCGCAAGAGAGCCTCGCCCTACAGTAACCCTTCAGCCCTTTACTCTGCTTCCCTTTTCTTCAGAGAAAAGCAGCTCTGGCTCCATCCTGAACAGATGTCCTCTGTCCTTCTATCCTCTTCTGTCCATGGCAAATTGGTTTTCTGTCTATAGTCTCAGAATCTGTCCTTCTCTGCCCTAGACTATCCTGTGTCCAACCTCAAGTCCACCCCAGGTCAGGCCACATCAGGATATTCATCAGGAATTGTTTTATGGGCTCAATCCCTGGTCTCTATCAGGCAGGGTTTTGGAGTGTAGGCTCTGGATGTCCACCCCAAAATCCTTACCAAATGCAATTCTAGCCCAGTTTTTCAAATCACTAGCTCCCTACCTCCAGATTCCCTGACTCAGGAGTGAGTATTGTGCACTGTGACATCCCAGGCTGCCAGACAAGTAGTTTTACAAAAGCAAAATTCCAAAAAGCAGCCAGACACTGGCTGATCTTTCTTTAAATTAATGTCTTTGCCCCAGTCCCTGCTTTTTCATGCCCAGGTCTAGCTTGATGCAGAAAGATTCAGAGGAGAGGTCCAGCATACAAATGCATGAAGGGCTCTTCACTAGCTATTGCACATGCTACATTCTCCTTATGTAGATTGGGTAGCCAGGCCCCTTAGGTAAAAAGTCTCCAGCCCACCAGAACCCTCATAGAGATAGAGGCTTTCCAGTAGGGATGGGTACCTTCTAAAGGAGCAGATTAGAAATGCTCGAGTGGGTGGAATGGGAACTTGTTCTCTGCAGGAGCCCTGGCTTCTCCCAACTAGGGGAGGACTGGACAAGCAAGCTATGCATTCTGCTAGTCACTAAGTTTAAGTCACAGTCGAATTGAGCCCAATTAGTCTGAGATCTCAGGGATTCTATTTAGTAAGCACCCGGAACCTCAACTATCATCCACAATACCACGGAGAAGTAATGCCTGTTAATAATAAGAAGTTAGGCACCCATGTCTCTAAGTTCATGGGCACCTCCTTTCCAGTGGTCAGTGTATGGACACAAGATACCCAGCCAACACCCTCTCCATCTACCCTTGAAACAGAAATCATTCTTACCTTTAAAGTAGATGTAATTCACCAGCACCATTACTGTACTCTGATCCAGGTCTGAGATCAGTTCCTTGATCTTCCCCTGGGTCTGTTTGTTCACATAGTCATTGATGAGCTTTTTGGCCTCATGAGGCTGCTGGTAGTCAGTCATGGAGGCCTCAACCTGGTACAGCGCCCTTGCCTTATCCTTGAACTCTGCTAGGATCTGTAGGTGCTTTTCAATAAACATGGCACTACCTGTTCTGATCTGCACCTGGTCGCCTGGCTGACTGAGCATGTGGAGGAGGTGCCCAAAGCCCCGGTGTATGTCTGCCTCAGGGGTCTCTCTGAGACTGAACTTGAGACCTCCTAGAATCTCTTCCAGGGTGTTGCTGCTTGCTCCCAGTGACAGGACGGCCAAGGCTGTTGAGATGCTGAATGGAGAGAAGACGACATTTCTATCTGGATTCTTCAAAGCCAGTTCCTTGTAGAGGCTGAAGGCAATGTCGGTGTTGGTGGAGGTCAGTGCTAGATTGTCCACTGGTGTCTTGTTGTTCAGATTTCCCTGGACAGCAGTGTCCCTTCCCAAAATGTCATCTGGTTGGGAGAGGACAGCTGGGGAGATCTCATCCATTACTCTGTTCTCCTGGTTGAAAAGAAAACATCCTTTTTTCAGGGAGCGTCACATGGTGCCCTGACCATCTCCTTGTCCTCCCACGTGGCCAGCACTGTGTCCCTGCTCTGCTGCCCCTGTGACTGTGCATGGGAGGTTCTCTGACCACTCAGATGGTAGTGCCACAGCTTCTGCTCCCTTTTACCACAGGAAGAAGTGCTGTTGCAGTAACCAGTATTCCTAATAGTGAATCAAAATTCAGTGGGATGAAAAGATTTGCTAGGGTCACAAGGTAAGGAAGTGAAAAATCTGGAGATGGACTCAAGCCTTGTGTAACCTGAATGTCTCCTCTCCTCTTCTGGATTGGCATAAGGACTCATTAGAAAGCAGGGGACCTCTTATTTTGCATTTGTGTTCTCTACTCCATCATCAACCTCTAGTTTTGGCTTAGGGAAAGAACCTTAGACCAGTTATTTATTACAGCATCCACCCCAACCTCCTGCAGACATGTCTAAGAAATCCCACAGCCATGGGCTGAACCTAGTGCCTGTTTCTGGGAGTGTGAAGGGTTAATTGAGGGTGGCTCTGGTGCATTGTCAAAGCCTTGGGACCCCTGATCACAGGCATTAGAAGGACCAATAGGTGAGCTTTGTATCTCAGCTTGGAAGACCTCCTGATGGGAAGGAAATTGAATGATGCCTGAGTCTCTGACACCTGGACCATTTTCCATTTTGGCTGTCAGGATGACTGTGTGGTGGTAGCAAGCAAATGGGTGCACCTCTCTGGACAGCTTGTTAAGTGACCCAGGGTACACTTTTAGTAAAAGTGTATAGCTTATTAGGAGCTTTGTGGGTATTGGTGGGGAGTATACAGAGGGCCATCTCCTTCTTACATCCCTGGACTGGGGCACAAACATCCTGAAAACTACAATTGACGGCTTATGATACGGTAAACACTGCCAATCTCCTTAGCCTTGTTCACACTGTAGATGAGTTCAGAGGAGAATGTAGATGCTAGAGGAATAGGAAGGTGAGGGAGAAGAACAGAGGAGAGAGGACCAGGTGGGAAAGGAAGCTGGAATGAGATAGTGGGGGGGAAGAAGAGGGAGGACAGGAGAGAAGGAGGATCAGATGGGGGAGGAAGAGAAAGATGAAGGGGAGGGAAGACCAGAAGAGTAGAATAGAATGGAGGGAGAAGGGGAGGGAGTTGTTGGAGCTGAGCCACAAGTCCCCGGGGCTATGCATGCCATGCCTGCATAGGGGCCAGGGACTTTGGCTGCCTTTACACTGTGTTTACCATCAGACTTTGGAAAACATTCAAGCATAATTTACATCTAAATTATTTCCACAGAAAACAGGCTAGTCTGTTTGTGGAGGAGACCTGGCTCAGTGGCTGAGCTGTAACCTTTTTTTCCTTATTAGGAGAGGATGTGGTCCCTTTTCTTGGCCATGGGATCTGTTGTGGAAGTGGCTTCCCTGACCCTAAGACATCTCCTGTCTCTCTAAGCATGACAGTGATGTCTCTTCCCCCATAGAGACTCTGTCACTGTCCTGTCCCCTTCTGGTTCCTACAGCTGCACTTGGCGTAGTCAAGGTCTCAATACTTCGTCCCCGTGGAGGGTCAGAAGCAGCAGGCTCCATTCCCTCTCCAGGAGCATAGCCTATGGCTCCTGCATCTTCATACACATGAAGACCCAGACTGGAGAGAAGATTCATATGCACCCCAGAAATGTCCCCTTATTTCAAATCAGTGCCCCAGAAACAACTTCTTGCCCTTCCAAACCAAGACTCAGGTCATTACCAGTACCACACAGTCCTGTAAAGGAACCTTTCCTTTCCCTAGAGAGAAAGAATCCTGGGCATTACCTGCAGAGCTGAAGCCCGCTGCCAGAGTCTGTAACAGCTGAGTTCTGATGTTCGGGTGGCTGCCTGCCTGGTGTGTTGTTCTCCCCAAGCACACTGATGCCTTTTTATCCCCACCAGGGACTCCTCCCTCTTCTTAGGAAATGCTGGCCCAGACAAGTTGTGCTCTGTGCTCAGTTTGGAAATGTACACATGGGATGATTCCTGGTAATGTGCATTAGAAGCTCCAGGAGGCAAGCCCACTGGATTGCCATTGTGGCTATCTGTTTCTCTAATTGTTTAATGGTCAGTGTTAAACTAGGCAGAATCAGAGATAAAAAGACAGGGCTCAAGCTGTACTTGGCACCAGGTAGGGCTGCATATAATAGTTGTCCTAGACTTTCTTTTTTCTTTTCTCTTTTTAAATTTTATTTTATTTATTTTTTTCATTTTTTAAAGATTTATTTATTTATTATGTATACAGTGTTCTGCCTGCATGTATACCTGCAGGATGAGGGTGCCAGATCTCATTACAAATGGTTGTGAGCTACCATGTGGATGCTGGGTAATTGAACTCAGGACTTCTGGAAGAACAGCCAGTGCTCTTAACCTCTAAGCAGCCCCCCTTTTAGATTTTATATTAGTCCTTTTAAAAATAATTTATTTAACTTTGTTTTATGTGCATTGGTGTGAAGGTGACAGATCCCCTGGAATTGGATTTAAAGACAGTTGTGAGCTGCCATGTGGGTCCAGGGAATTGAACCCCGGTTCTGAGAGAGGAGCCAGTGTTCTTAACCTCTGAGCCATCTCTCCAGCCCCTTGAATTAGTTGTTTTTTTCACATTTGTTTTTTTTAATTTTTTCTCATTTTATTTATTTATTTTTCTATTATCAGCTTGATACAGTATAAATTCTTATCCTAATTGTGAAATGTTTCATTGAGGCTTGCCCAGTAATTGAGTAAAACCAAAACTTATTATAAGCCACAGTCATCCTGGGGTCTCCCCTGCTATAGGGCTTCCTTGGTTCTGTGGGTTGCAGTCTGATTGTTCTTTGCTTTATATCTAGATTCCACTTATGAATGAGTACATACCATGTTTGTTCTTCTGGGTTTGGGGTACCTCACTTAGGATGATATTTTCTAGTTCCATCCATTTGCCTGCAAATTTCATGCTGTCATTGTTTTTCTCTGCTTAGTAGTACTCCATTGTGTATATGTACCACATTCTCTTAATCCATTTTTCAGTTGACGGGCATCTAGGTTGTTTCCAGGTTCTGGCTATTAAGAATAGTGCTACTATGAACATATTTGAGCATGTATCTTTGTGGTATGATTGAGCATTCCTTGGGTATATGCCCAAGAGTGGTATGGCTGGGTCTTGAGGTAGATTGATTCCCAATTTTCTGAGAAACTGCCATACTGTGGTTGTACAAGTTTGCATTCCCACCAACATTGGAGGAGTGTTTTCTTTGCTCCATATCCTCTCCAACATTGACTGTCATTGGTGTTTTTGATCTTAGCCATTCTGGCAGGTGTAAGGTGGTATCTCACAGTCATTTTGATTTGCATTTCTCCAATGATTAAGGATGTTGAGCATTTTTTTCAATGTCTTTCAGCCATTTGTGATTCTTCTTTTGAGAATTCTCTGTTTAGCTCTTTAGCCCATTTTTTTAAAATGGATTGTTCAGTATTTTAATGTCTAGTTTCTTGAGTTCTTCATATACTTTGGAGATAATTCCTCTGTCAGATGTGGGGTTGGTGAAGGTCTTCTCCCATTCTGTAGACTGTCTTTGTCTTATTGACCATGTCTTTTGCCCTACAAAAGCTTCTCAGTTTCAAGAGGTCCCATTTATTAATTGTTGTTCTCAGTGTCTGTGCTGCTGGTGTTATATTTAGGAAGTGATCTCCTGTGCCAATGCGTTCAAGAGTATTTACTACTTTCCCTTCTATTAATTTAGTATAACTGGATTTATGTTGAGGTCTTTGATCCACTTTGTCCTAGACTTTCTAAGTAACTTCAAAAAGAATACAACAACTTTATGTCCATGCTCCCCGATTTCTTTAAGGAAACTCACACATTAATAAACACATGCCTTCATCCTGACAGAACCCCACCTGCATCTATATAACCATCCTGTCTGTCAGCAATGGGCATGTTCTCAACAGAGACTCCATCTCCTCTCTTTGGCTATCAGACTTCTGAAGGGTAGCTGCCTTGTCTGGCAGTGAAGAAAACCTCTTAAAGGAATCTGTGTCTGCAGAGCCTGGCTGGCTGATCTGAATTTCAGTACTGTAGAGAGATTGGAACACTGCAGGTCAGAGGCTAATGACGTTCTCATGGGCTAAGTGCTGCTCTCTGGAACAGCCATGTTTTCCTCCTTCTGTGTCAGAACTAAACTTTGTGACAATAGAGGCAATTCACTTTGCAGACAACCAGCTTCAATCCAAAAGCTAAGAATGCCAGCATCTTGAGCCTGTGGAGAAGCTTCCACCCTGTCTTGAGGCACCTACTTAACTGAGCAGCTCTTTGAGTAGGCTAAGAGACATTTTCCATTATAAGCCATGAGAGGGCTGGGTTTTAGTTCATTGGTCTGGGGCTTGCCCAGAAAACACAATACCCTGGTTCAGTTTATAGCACCAGAGGAAAAAGAAAATCATGAGAGCAAACTTGGACATGAAACCTCCAGCATGTGTCGAGTCTTAGGCCAACTGAATGACTCACGAGCAACCCTGAGGAAGAACCATCCAGCCTGGCTCCTCATGGGTGCCTGACACTGTGAGATATTCCATGTTTATTGTTTCAAGCTGTGCATGTCTGGGCAATTTAATCTGCATAATAAGATTCGTGAGAGGAGACCAGTCTTCCTCTTAGTCCTTTGGACCAAGAGAGAGAGAGTAAGGACAGACAAGTCAGAAGGCAACATGCAGGCTCACACTGAAATGTCCAAGGAAGTCTTTCATGCTCTCACTCCATCATGTGTTTGCTCACACAGTTCTCAATCCTCTCTTTTCCCCCACCACAGTCATGTCAGCCTTCACATGTATTTCAGATTTCTATGGACATGTCTGTGGTGCAGAAGAATCAACCAGAGTAAGTAAGGAAACCACAATAAATAAAGATGCTATAATTCAAAATTATTTTGTCATATTACGATTGAGATGAGTACTCTATTCTGTCAACAAAGAGCATTTCAACTTAATCTGACCTACATCTGACTTGTAAATAAATTATGGTCTTTGTGGTTTTGCCCTTAAACATTCTGTGTCCCTGAGCTTGAGCACCTATAACCTTTTCAAAGACATGAGCTCATTCTTGGTCTGATCATTAATAAAAGTACTTAAATTATTTTTGGATTAATAGTGTTTTTGTCAATAACTACCTCATGTGGATCATTTCAACACCTCAGCAGTGTCTCACTGTGGATTCTTCCCTAGGCAGAAGCCCCTCTTCCTGCTCTTCTCTTTCTTTCCCCACACAGACCACAAAGGTCACCACTGCTGCTCTGTCCTTCATGCCTAAGACCCTGTTGCATCCTCACAGCACCTGCTGAGGTGGGGCCCGGTGTTGACTTCCTACTGTGCAGGATCCCAGGTACAGACACCAGTTAATGCTGAGCCAAGCCAGGAGTGTGATCCAGACTAGCCAGAGACATAAAGCTAATTAACACACCCCTCTATCTACTGTCTGCTCTGTGGCCTGAGTAAGAACAACAGAAAACAGATGGAGGCAGCCAGCTGGATGGCATCTCAGCATCCTCTCAGAAGGCTCTGGAATCATGCTATGATCTGCACATCAGGCACTTCACAGTGGCTACACCTTGGGAATCCTCGCATCTAGGTGGAGTTATCCTTAGATGCCTTGTCCTGGTTTGAGTTCAGTGCACAGGTGTCTGAGATCACTACTGTAAACCTCTTTCCCTCACAGTAAGCGACTTCTTTTGCACACCGAGGCAGTCCCTGTAGAGTGTTCATCACCTTGGCAACATTTGGTGGCCAAATCCTGGGTGAACTCTCATAGAATGGGCAAAAGTAAAACCCTGATGTCTGTGTCCTAGATTCCCTTAAGAGGTGGACTTTGCCAACACTTCTGGAAACAGTTCACAGGCAGTATGAGAGGTACTCACCACCAGGCTCTTTAGATACCTGTGCAGAAGCCAAGAAGGATGCAGGATTGCAGCTGAGGCCTATAAGTGATCAGGGGGTACATGAGGTGCTGACCTTAGGGCCTTGACTGACTGTAGGATACACTGGATTTGTTGGGACATGGATGTTTTCAATACATGGGTCCTGTTCTTATCTCTCCATGGTCCTGTTGGAGTGGTACCTAAGTGCACACTGGAGAAGGGTCTAAGACCAAACACAGGCTTTTTCCCACCATAGTCTCCTAGGTGAGATTATGCTCAGGGGGTACAGGAAGGACTGGCTGCATGCTACCCAGCAGGAGTATCTAGGCTGTAATCCAGCTCTTCTAGGATGAGGGAATCTCAGAAATGCAGGCTTTCTCACACATTTACCGTTCCCCACACATGACTTGTCCTTCACCATCCACATTCAGGCACCAGAGTGAACTACCCAGTGTGTCTTGGCTTACCTGAGAGACTCTCAGGTCCTTGTCCTCAGTGATCCCAGACAGGCCAGCCTGTGAGGAGAAGACTTTGTTGATGCCCAGGTGTGGAAGGATTTTCTTCAGGTTGTAGTCAGTGAAAATGTAGAACTTGGGCATGTAGAGATCATCAATCTTCCTGTGAATGAAAAAGAGAAATACAAAAGTCAATGGACACTGTTGCTTCATCAATGTACCTAATAGCTGGGTAACCAGAGACAGCCCTCTCACTGGAGAGCAGCCCTCTTTCCATCCATGCCTAGACCTTGTCATTTGCTCTTCAAATGCATTAATTATCTGTCAGTGCCTGAGTGTGTTCACAGGGGCCAGGGAACATAGTTTGGTACTTCCTGTTCCTCTGTGGAGAATGCTTTTCTTCCAGATCCACAAAATGAGCCCTTTCTCTGTCCTCTGGACCCTCAGACATCTCCTAATGAACCTTCTATTTTAAATTTCACACTGTATCTGACTCCAGCTTTCCTTATCCTTGAATCCCTTCTCAATCTCACCCCTCCTCAACTTTTAACTAATTAAGTAATGAGTAGTTGCACTTTCATGTCTCCACTCTCTCTTCCTCGTTCCAAGAAGAGTCCTCAAGGTAAGAAAGTTTATGCTTGAGTCTCTGATTACTCTAAGGGTCTAAATCATAGCATGGCACATAGTAGGTCTTCAGGTCACCATCCCAAGAACGGTGGTTGAACGAGTGGTGAGGGGGTGAGATGGCTACGCAGGGCAGAGCTGATTCTCAGAGCTGATTTCATCTCAACCTCACCTCCTTCTGCCTTCCAAAACCCATTCAAGACTACCTGTACTTACAGCCTGTTAGACACAGAACAATTCTCAGCCCCTGCTCTAGCTGATTTCTTCTTGTGAACAACAAAATGACACCAAAATGTGACAACAAAATTACATCTGTGTGGCCCCAAACTATGGAGTCCGCGGAGGGAAAGTCACCTCCACTCCACCTGTCTCTGTGGACTCTCGAACCATTACACTCATGCTAGAGAGACTCTGAGGGGCAGGGACACTGTGGCTCAGGCCAACAGCAGGATGGGGAGTCAGACCAGTGCTGCTTCCTGGACACATCCACCTGGGCCTCAGAGAGTCCTCCCACTTCCTCAGGGTCTCTGGTTGTAAGCTGGCTTCTACCTGCTGCATCCTGCCCTCATCTGGGAGGATGAACAGGGCTCTGGCATTGCCTGTGTACTTCAGCTCCACCACAGAGCAGGACAGATCCTCATCCTGGTAATAGGGTGTGGTGAGAGACTTAAGGTGCATCATGGGCACCTCCACAGACCTCTTCTTGTCCAAGTAAAAGTCAGACTCAAATGTGAAATGAGGCTCAAAGATTCTCTTTCATTTCCCTAAATGTGGAGCAGGCCATCAGATTGTACCATTAGCAGATACTCCACCTCCACCCCATTTCTGCCCAGTTTTTCAGTCTTGACACAAATCAGTCCATCTTCAACAACCTAGAGTGCCCCTTACTGGTTACACAATCTAGATTAGAAATAAACATTGACAAATGTAGAACTGTAAATGAGAAGTGATCCACAGGCTTCGTTTGGAAAGGGGAACTCAAAACCAAAGCTTCTCTACATGAGAGATCTGAAAAATGGCCAGAGACTCCTGCCTCTTCTTAGGAAATGCTGTCCTCAACAAGTTGTGCTCTGTGCTTAGTCTGGAAGGTGCAGATGGGATGATTTCTGGTAACGTGCATTTAGAAGTTCCAGGAGGTAGAACCAGTTCCTGAAGGCTGTAAACAACAAGTCCACTGGATTGCGTTTGTGGCTTTCTGTTCCTCTAATCATTTAATGGTCAGAATGAAACAGGAATGAAGTTAGAGTTAAAAAGACAGCGCATAAGTCCTACGTGTCATGGGGCAGGGTTGCAGCTAACATATAACCTATACTTTCTAAGTCACTTTGAAAAGAACACATCTCTATGTTCATGCTCCCTGGTTTCTTTAATGAAACACACATTACCAAAAACTTGCCTCGATGCTGACAGAACCCTACCTGCATCTGTGTAACCCACTGTCCTGTCTGGCAGCAAGGGACATGTTCAAATAGAGACTTGTTCTCCTTTCTCAAGCTATCAGACTTCTGGAGGGAAGCTGCCTTGTCGGGCAGTGAAGGAAAACTCCTAAAGGAATCTTTGTCTTCAGAGCCTGGCTGGCTGATCTGAATTTCAGCACTGTAGAGAGATGGGAACACTGCAGGTCAGAGGCTAATGACCTTCTCATGGGCTAAGTGCTGCTCTCTGGAACAGCCATGTTTCCTTCTCTGTGTCAGAACTAATCCTTGTGACCTTAGAGTCTATTCACTTAGCAGACAACCAGCTTCAATCCAAAAGCTAAGAATGCCAGCAGATAACATCTTGAACCTGGGGAGAAGCTCCCTGATCCTGATGATACATCTGCCTCCCTGATGTTCCTACCTCTGCATTTTAAACTTGCCTTGATTTGTGACTTTGTTTGGTTAAGCTATCGAGTTTTCATGAAACTGTTTCCATACTGGAACATGGAATTTGGGTGAGAGAAATCTATGTTCTCAGCTCATTGTCACTCAAAATGGCTCTTATAAAGTGCCTGTCATTCCCTTCAGGATGAGAGCTGTGGTGTTTGTGTCAAGGATGGGGAGGTGTTAGGCAGGCACTGAGCAGGCAGGTATTAGGTTCAAAGCTACTGTCCCCCCAGTGATGGTCCTAATAAGAAGGATTTTGGCTCAGTAAACAGAAGCCTATAGGCAGGTCTCTGTGTAACAGAGAAGCAAATTACCCATGGTGCATTTCTGTTTGCCAGGAGTCATCCAAATCTTCCCACAAATGTCAGTTACCTTAGGCAAGATCACCCAGTTCCCCTTCAATCTAGACAGACTGAATTAGCTCAAATATCTCTACCTAAGACAGCAAACACCAATTAACCCCTCCTGTGCTTACTGCGGCTCTGAGGAATTTCATAATCCTCCCAGAGCAAGGCTCTTTGCCATCTTGTGTCTGTAATTGCCTCTTCCTCTCCACCACCCTTCTGCTGTGTTGTCTGAAAGACTCACTTCCTCTCAGATCCTTAGAAATGCCTCCATTACTGGGAACCCTGCCCAAGACATTCTTTCTGATCATGTGATGTCGTTCTCACCCTCCTCTGACTTCAACACAGAGGTCACATGATCCATATGTGCTTTTGGGAGCTCTCTGTGAAGTATCTCAAGCCTTGTTTTATGATCCACCTGCACACCACCATGGTGATGCCTGTGCACAGTTCCCCGCTTGGTGAAAACTGTTCCTCTGTCATAGGGACACTTGAAGAACATCCAGCCAGTCATAATGTCTAGCTGTGAGTTAATGGGAAATGACTAAGACTCTCTGTGTCTCAGTTTCCTGATCCATAAAAAGGATTGATAATAACATGTAGGTCAGAGGCCCATCACAGGAATCACAGGGTATGGATGACAATTTCTACTACCCTGTGGTCACTAAAGGGCACACCCCTGCCAACAGGAGCTGAGTGAATTGTACATTTATTGATCCTTTGCTCCAAACCCTGCATTTTGGGTGATGAAGTTGGAGGTGTCTGTCTATCATTTCAGGTTCATCAGTTGCCAACCTAGAAAATGCATACTGTGCCCTAAGTAGGAGTGCTGTGGGAAAGGAGCTGGTCTGACCAGTCGCCCCCTCAAGATGAATGAAGGCTCCAACAGTGGGCCAGATATGTGCAAGGCCAACATCTGCTGCAAAGGGCAGTGGGTGGCAGAGCCTAGGGACTAGAGAGGGAAAGCACAAGGCAAGAACTTGTCACCAGGAGGTACCAGATGCAGGAGTGAGATTCAGTGCAGCCATCTCCCTTCTCAGTCCTGGTCCTGGTCTTCATGGATTGGCCTATAAGCTTGCATGATCCCATCAAGGCCAAGGAAGCTGAAGGCCAATATGCCTAGAGACAGTACTGGGACTGAGCATACCTAACAGTGCCCACATTTGGGGTACAGGGAAATACATGTGAGTGAGCAGGGAGAGGGCATAAAGGTAGATTCCAGGCTCAAAAAAAAATTAGGTGCTCCCAAGAGGCCTAAGAGCCTGTCAATCACAGTCCAAGGCTCCTGTGTATGTAGGAGTCATGGAGTTAGTCAAGGTCACTGTCCAAGCCAGGTATACAAAGCCAATCAGAGCATGGAGTCCAAGATGTACACACCCACATGCAGGCTTCCTCCTGGGCTCTTGGGCAGAAGCTTCTCCCCTTGGGGAGCTCTAGCCTCACTTAGGGTTGGAGATTTTGCCAGAAATAGGATCATCTGAGTAGTTGTGTCAGAGACAAACATCGGAATGGCCTGTTGAAATGGATATGTCATCAATATAAATTTTGCACTACAAGGGACCGCTTTGACTCCTGTGGTAGCTACTGCTTAGTGCCTGTCTCAGCCACATCCGGCATAGCCTTGTGGACCACCTGTAGAAGAAAGACATCACTCACTGGAGACCAGGGATGGCAGTTGACGAGATTCCTGTAGCAAGCATCCACTGCTGGCCACAGCTGCTGGTGAAGCTATTTGTTTCTATAGTGAGCTCTACACCTGGTGTTTCCTAGTCTCTGCTCAGGGCGTGAGATGAGGCATCCCCTGAGTCTGCTCAGTCACTGAGGACCTGTGTTGTCCTCAAACTGGGTATGGGTGTAGGCAGTGCCAGTCCTTACTCCACAGGCAACTTCTCAGGAGACCCACAGTGAACAGCCAGTGTGCTAGCAGCAAGAGCAGATTTCAGTATCCCTCCTGCTCCAGCTTCCTTGGGACATACAACTACAATGCACAGGGCATGGCTTCTCTTTATTAAACTGCCATGTCCTTTTTGTTCAGATTTGCACCCAGGGGTCAGAGTGGTCACTGGACAGACAGAAGGCATTGCCGATCTGTGCATCTGGGACTGTAGTGTGGGGTCCTAAGGCATCTTCTCCCCTATTCTTAAGCTTTTCATCATAACTGCCATTCATCCCTTGTTATTTCCTTACTGCTACTGTTCTGTTTGCTCATCAGGAACTACTGAGTCAGCTTTGCAGTGAAGAAGCTGAGGCTGGTTGTAATTTGCCCTGCAGTGGATTGTGGGTGGTATCTGCACTGCAACACAGGTCAGTGCCTATGGTGGTCTGACATCAAGCACAGGCTTTTTCCCCACCCTGGGCTCCTGGGTGAAGTTATGTTCAGGGGAGAGAGGAGGGATTGGTGGCATGGTCTCCAGCAGGGGTATCTAGGTTGAAATCCAGCTCTCCCAAGATGAGGGAATTTCACAATGCAGGCTTTCTCACACATTTACCATCTCCTCTTGCCACCTCGCTTTCAGCATACGTATTGTGGCACCCAGTGAGAACCACCCAGTGTTTCTTGCCTTGCCTGAGAGACTCTCAGGTCCTTGGCCCCTGTGATCTCAGACAGGGCAGCCATTGTAAAGATGACTTCCCTGATGCCCAGCTGTGAAAGTCTATCTCCAGGCTGTAGTCAGTGGAGATGGAGAACTTGGGCACGTAGAGATCATCAATCATCCTGAGAATGAAAAAGAGAAATGTAAGAGTCACTGGACTCCATCACCACACCAGCCCACCTTTTCACTAGGGCACCTCTCCACAGACAGCCCTCTCACAGGAGAGCAACCCTCTTTCCATCCATCCTAGACCACTTGGTTTTTCTTTCCTAATGCATTAACTAACCATCAATGACTGAGAGTTTATACAAGGGCAGGTGATGAGACTTGGTACTAGCAGTTACCTTACCAAGAATGCTTTTTTCCAAGATCCACAAAATGCAGTACTTTGCTGTCATGTGGACCCTCAGACTTTATCTAATGATCAATCTATTTAAAATTGCTCACTCCTTCTGACTCCAGCTTTCCTTATCCTTAGACATCCCCCCCCATTTTTTAAACATCACTACTTCTCACTTTTTAACTAGTCAAATAATGATTAATTGTATTTTCAATCACCTACTCTCTCCTCTTCAATTTCAAGGTGAGCCTGTGAGGATAAGAAATTATGTGCTTGAGTTTCTGATGCCCTCTCAGGGTCTAAATTCCAGCACAGCTCATAGGTCTTCAAGTCATCATCTATGGATGGTAGTGAATAATGATTGATGAGGAGATGAGGTGGCTACACAGGGCAGAGCTGATACTCAGAGCTGGTCTCATCTCAACCTTACTCTCCTCTGCATCCCCAAACCCATTCAAGATTCCCTGTAATTATAGACTGTTGGTCACAGAACAATCCTCAGCTCCTGCCCTAGGTGATCTCATTGTGTGAACAACAAAAAGGACATTACAATTTGCCTCAACTACCATGTTCAGAAAGGAAGTCAGCTCCACTCCCCCTGTCCCTGATGACTCTCCAGGTAATACACTGAATGCCAAGGGAGACTCACTCTGAGGGACAGGGACACTGGACCTCAAGCCAGCAGTAGGATGCGGAGCCAGACCAGCTCTGGTTCCTTTGGACACGCACCTGGGCCTCAGAGAGTCCTTCCACTTCCTCGGGGTCTCTGGTTGCAAGCCGGCTTCCACCTGCTGCATCCTGCCCTCATCAGGGAGGATGAACAGGGCGCTGGCATTGCCTCTGTACTTCAGCTCCATCACAGAGCAGGACAGATCCTCATCCCGGCAGTAGGGTGTGGTCAGGTCCTCAATGTTCATCATGGGCACCCTCACAGACCTCTTCTTGTATAGTTGAACTCAGACTTGAATGTGTCACAAGGGTTAAATGATGTCTTCCATTTCCCTAAATGTGGAGCAGGCCATCAGAATGTAACAGTACAGGAGAGACTCCACCTCCACCCCATTTCGGCCCAGCTTCTGAAACAAGAGAGCAGTCAATCCATCTTCAACAACACAGAGTGTAGTATCCCTAGGTGCTTGCATAATCTGGATTGGAAAAACCTTGATATATGCAGAACTATGAATGAGAAGTGATCCACAGGCTTGGTTTGGAAAAGGGAACTCAAAACCAAAGCCTGGCTATTTGAGGAACCTGGGAAACAATCCAGAATCTGAGAATGGGTGATTTAAAGAGAAGTGAAGGTAAAAGTGGTGAGACCAGAGCCTGGGGAGATTTGGGGATCCCTTCTTCCTTAGGAGGAACACTGTCTAGAAGGCAGTTGCTTGTGGGACATGTTTCCAGAGAAACAGGAAGAGTCTGAAACCTCCAGATGGTGGGTGACCCGTCAATGTTGCTCGTCAGTGTGAACCACCTAATGTAAGGCAGAGTCCAGAGCCAAATTGGGCTTACAGTCAAGCTCCAGGGCCCTGGAACTTCCCAGAGTTGGATTACCAGGATACCATATGTGGTTGACTAAGACACTGGTAATGAGTCCTCTTCTCCCTTGCGGGCCATGTTCACCTCCATGAATCAAAGATATCCTACTTAGACTTTATACACATTCCAAGTGCATGTGACCATCTGCAATACACCCTAGGGGGCATGGTACTTTGACAATTTCTTGGGCTCAGGATCCAACAGCATAAACATATATCTCCAGCTCGCAGCCAAGCAGCCTTGGTGCTTGTGATCTGGGCACAGCAGAAAGAGCCACGCCCTGCAGTCTAATCCTTCAGGCCATCACTCTGCTTCCCTTCTCTTCAGAGCACAACTACTCTGGGGTTATCCTGGTCTCCTGTCCTCTGTCCTCCTATCTGTTTCTGTCCATGGTCAATTGACCTTCTGTCTAGAGTCTCAGAGCATGTTCTCCTCTATCCTAGACTATCCAATGTCCAGCTTCAAATCCACCCCAGGTCTAGTCACATCAAGATTTTCATCAGACACAATTTTCTGGGCTATAGCCTCAATCCATGGTCTCTATCAGGCAGGATTTCTGAGTGTAGGCTCTGGATGTCCCTCCCAAAACCCTTACCCAAAGCAATTCCAGCCTAGTTTCCCAAATCATTAGCTCTGTAACTCCAGATTCCCTGGCTCAGGAGTGAGTGTTGTGCACTGTGACCTCCCAGGCTCCCAGGCTATTAGTTTTTCAAAAGCAAAATTCCATAAAGCAGCCAGACACTGAACACAGAACACTGTGTGGCTGATCTTTCTTCTCAATAATGGCTTTTCCCCAGTCTCTGCTTTTCCATGCCCAGGTCCAGCTTGATGCAGAAAGGATCAGGGGAGAGGTCCTGCATAGGAATACAAGAAGGGCTCTTCACTTGCTATGGTCCTTCACTACCTATGCCTCTTTTTCCTTAAGTTTCTGTATCCAGGCTCCTTAGGTAAAAACTTTCCAGCCCACCTGGACCCTCCTAGAGACAGAGGCTCTCCAGCAGAGATGGACACCTTCTACAAGAACAGGTTAGAAATTCTGGTGTGAGCAGACTGAGGGATCTGTCTCTGCAGGGAGAAGCCATGGCTTCTCCCTACTCAGGGAGGACTGGACAAGCAAGCTATGCATTCTGCTAGTCAATAAGTTTAAGTCACAGCCAAAAAGAGTCCTCTTAGGCTGAGAGCTCAGGGGTTCTGTTGAGTAAGTAACAGGAACCTCAGTCACCATCCAGAATACCACAGAAGAGAACTAAGGCCTGTTAGTAATAAGAAGTTAGGCACATATGTCTCTAAATCCATGAGTACTTCATTCTCAGTGGTCAGTGTATGGATACAAGGTGCCCAGCCAACACCCTTTCTGTATAACCCTGAAACATCGACCATCTTTACCTTTAAAGTAGATGTAGTTCACCAGCAACATTACTGTCCTCTCATCCAGGTCTGAGAACAGTTCCTTGATCTTCCCCTTGGCCTTTTTTCTCACATAGTCATGGATGAGTTTTCTGGCCTCATGGGGCTGTTGGAAGTCAGTCACAGAGGCCTCGACCTGGTACAGCGCCCTTGCCTTCTCCTTGAACTCTGCCAGGATCTGTAGGTGCTTTTCAACAAACATCATGCTGCCTGTGCTGATCTTCACCTGGTCCCCTGGCTGGCTGAGCATGTGGAGGAGGTGCCCAAGCCCTGGTGGATGTCTGCCTCAGGGGTCTCTGTGAGACTGAACTTGAGACCTCCTAGAATCTCTTCCAGGGTTTTACTCCTTGCTCTCAGGAACAGGACGGCCAAGTTTGTTGAGATGCTGAATGGAGAGAAGACGACATTTCTATCTGGATTCTTCAAAGCCAGCTCCTTGTAGAGGCTGAAGGCAAAGTCAGTGTTGGTGGAGGTCAGTGCTAGATTGTCCACTGGTGTCTTGTTGTTCTGGTTTTCCTGGACAGCAGTGTCCCTTCCCAATGTGCCATTTGGTTGGCAGAGGACAGCAGCAAAGTTCTCAGCTATTACTCTGTTGTCCTGCTTGAAAAGAAAAGATCCTTTGTTAGGGAGGGTCACGTGGTGCCATGACCATCTCCTTGTCATCCTATGTGGTCTGCACTGTGTCCCTGCTCTGCTGCTTCTGTGACTGTGCATGGGAGGTGCTCTGGCCACTCAGATCTTAGTTCGACAGTCTGTGACTCTGCATAAGAGGTGCTCTGGCCACTCAGATGGTAGCACCACAGCCTCTGCTCCCTTTTACCACAGGAAGAACTGCTGTTGCTGTAACCAGTATTCCTAATAGAGAACCAAGACCCAGAGGATTGAAGGGATTTGCCAGGGTCACAGGGTAAGGAAGAGAAAAATCTGGGGATGGGCTCAAGCCTTTTGTAATCTGAATGTCTCCTCTCCTCTTCTGGATTGGCATAAGGACTCATTAGAAAGCAAGGGATCTCCTCCTTTGCACTTGTGTCCTCTACCCTGTCACCAGCCTCTATTCTGGACTCGGAAGGATCCTTAGACTAGTCGTGTAGCACAGGGCCCACCGCAACCTGCAGCAGACACGACCAAGAAATCTCACAGCTCTGGGCTGAACCTAGCACGCATTTCTGGGAGTGTGAAGGGTTAATTGAGGGCAGCTCTGGAGATGACTGGTGCAGCTCAAAGCCTTGGTGAGAACAGGTATTAGGAGGACCAGTAGGGTAGCTGCTCTCAGCCCTGCCAGGATAGCACATGGAGGTTTGTATCTCAGCTTGGAAGGCCTCCTGATGGGAAGGAACTTGAGTGGTGTTCCAGTCGTGGATGCCTGGACCAGATTTCATTTTGACTGTTACAATGTCTGTGTGGGGCAAAGAAATGGGTAGAACTGTCTGGGCAGCTGTTGAGTGACCAAGGTTACACTCTTAGTAAAAGTGTATGGCTTATTATGGGCATTGTGGGTATTTGTAGGCAATGTCCAGCGGGCCATCTCCTCCATACATCCCTGGACTGGGAGCATCATAAAAACTACAGTTGAAGGTTTGTGATCATGGTAAACACTGCCACCCACCTTAGCCTCTGTCCACACTGTAGAAGAGTTCAGAGGAGAACATAGATGCTAGAGGAACAGGAAGGTGAGGGGGAAGAACAGAGGAGAGAGGACCAGGTGGGAAAAGAAGCTGGAGTGAGAAAATGGAGGAAGAGTGCCACACCAACTCCAGTGTTGTCCGTGTGACATGAACAATTATGTCAATAATAGAGGACGGGAGATATGTGTCCCACGGGGCTAAGCTCCCTGGAGGTCCCTGGCAGAATGCCCGTGTTATGCCTCCTTCTCGAAGGAGACGTGCTTCACAGATCATGAGCTCTCTGGGCTATGGGTTCTGTATACTTGCTTTTCTGATAATGTTCTAATTAATCTATAAAACACAGCCAAAATTAATGAATGCTTGGGTTGTGAACTGTGGAGGAAAGGGGAAGCTGGACATGGACCTTATTTAGATAT